ATGACTGGGAGAAATCCACTTTAATTTCTCTTTTGCTTATCAGTCTTTTCTATAATGATTATACACTTCTTTGTTTGTTTGTTTTGTTTTTGCGGTATGCAGGCCTCTCACTGTTGTGGCCTCTCCTGTTGTGGAGCACAGGCTCTGGACACGCAGGCTCAGTGGCCATGGCTCATGGGCCCAGCCGCTCCACGGCATGTGGGATCTTCCTGGACCAGGGCACGAACCCGTGTCCCCTGCATTGGCAGGCGGACTCTCAACCACTGTGCCACCAGGGAAGCCCCATTTCTTTTTTTTTTTTGAACAGCGTTAATGAGATATACAAAATTTACATATAAATCTAACCAATTCTAAGTATACAATTCAACAATCTCAATAAATTAATAGAACTGAGCAACCAACACCACAATCCAGTTTTAGAAGGTTTCCATCACCCAAAAAGTTCCTTCCCAGATATTTGCAGTTAATTCCTGTTGCCACCCGTAGACCTAGGGAACCACTGATCTGCTTTCTGCCTCTACAAGTGTGCTTTTCTAGAGATTTCTTATAAATGGAATCAGTATGTGGTCTCTTGTGTCCAGCTTCTTTTACTTAGCATGTCTTTGAGGTTCATGCATAATAAAGCACAGATCAGTATTCACTCCTTTTTGTTGCTGAATAGCATACTGGTGTATGGATATACCATATTTTGTTGTTTGTATCCATTTGTCAGTTGATGGACACCTGGATTATTTCCAGTTTGGGGCTATTATGAATAATGCTGCTATGAAGATTTGTTTCATGCCTTTGTGCAGAGATATGTTTTCATTTCTTTTGGATAGATCCCTGTGAATGCTTTTCTTTTATAATAATTACAATTTATTTTAAGTAAAGGAAACTATTGAAAAAAAGGTCTAGACTTTTTTCTGACTCCAATTTTTTCATCCCTATTCATTTTAAGCCAATTATACCAGTTCTCTGGTTTAGGTTTAGTCTGTGTTTTTATTCTTACACATATAACTAAAAGACTTTTAAGTTATTCTAACTACTTGATTCTCTCTTGTTGATTATTTGAAATGTTATAAATTTTCCCTATGACAAACCTGGGAGAGCAGAAACAGTTGCCTAAATATGAATTAATACTTAAAACTGCTGTGTTTGGGGATTTTTGACTAAACTATTATTTTTACCAAATTCCTATATAGATCAATTTGGTTTGTATTAAATTATTTTACCTAAAATTTTCAGTTGAATTATCTAGAGCCCCCCCCCGCCCTGGACCAATTAGGTCCAATTACGTGAAGTTTGCTCTCCTGTTTATCTTATTACAACCTTCTCATGTTTTTTGTTTTCTGTTCCTTTCTACCTGAACACATTCCTACAAAAATGCAGAGGGCATCTTGAAGAACTTTATCTTAAAACTGCTGGGTGCATAACTTACTGTGGGTGTTCAATAAAAGTTTAATTGGATTGCACAAAATTTCTAGCTTTTTTTGTACAATGAAACTTAGCTGCTGAATTATTTCAATCTGGAATACAATGTAGCTTAGTATTCTTCTCACTAACTACTTCCTGCTCTTTCTTTCTGGCTACCTATAGTAACAATAAACATAAACCCTTTTCAATCAGAGATGCAGGTCTTCTCTCTGAAGTTAGACCAGAAAACTGAGTTGGTTCCTTGTATTTAAGAGGCAAATATGAAGATACATTACCTTAAATGGAACTATCTAGAAGCCACACAGCCTAGCAACATCTTTTGTGGCTCAAAATTTGTTTTTGCTCTCATGGTTTGATAATACCTCCATACAGAGAAACTCAGGGCTACTATGAGTCAGGAAAATATTATTTGCTGAACCAGATGATAACTACACTCACCACAAAAACTAGTCAAAGAAAAAGGATAAATATTTGTTAATAGGAAAAATACACTTTTAGTTTATTTTTGTTTTTTTGACTAAGTGATAAACGTTCAGGGTACAAAAAAGTTACAAAACGGAGTCCCTCTCCATTCCTATCACTCAACTACTCAGTTCCTCTCCTGGAAAAAACTACTGTTCTTGTGTTAGAAGGGTGATCTGGTGGAATCTGTCAGAGCCTATGTAAAGCAGACATCCACATAGGGAAGAGAGCTGTAGCAGCAAATGGGAGATCAGTCACATAAAGGGGAATTAATCAAATAAGTAAATACATTAAGGATAATGGGAGCTAGGTTTCTCATGGACAGAGAAGGGAGTTACAATTATGGAAAAGGAGAAAACTAGAACAAGACTTAGAGTGTTGGAGGTATCAGTGTGAACTCATGGTTCCTGATACACAAAAATACAAAAATATAGATATATAGGGGGGTGTATACAATTGTGTAACGTGTATACCTTAGCTTGTCTGCTGAGAGGGCTTGGGAGTAGGAACAACAAAACAGCAATAAACAATCTAGTGTCCAGATCTTGGTTTCTAAATACTATACTCTACCAAAAGGAACCAGGGCTCGTTGGAGAAATGGCTGATTCCAAGGTTGGAACAGGTAAAGTATGAACTGAGCCTGGAACTTCTTGTTGCGCCAGAAAGAAGTGTTGGAAGAATGATGGGGACACGTCAAAAGGACACAGAAGCCAGCTTGAAAGGCCTTCCACTAGCTAAATCAGAGCCAATTTGAAAATCTAAATAATGGTAACAATAGATTATAATCCAATGAATAATATAGAAAACCATAAGTCCACAGTGATTTAATAAATGAATAAACTGAAAATTTGATGAAAAACAGGGTAACTCACATGATCTCAAACTGCCCTCCCCATAAATACTTAATTATAAAGGGAAACAAGAATCTTTATGAGAAGCCTAGCAGATATCTCCTTATTAAGAAGTCACAGTGCACCTCATCAGTAACTGGAAAAATCTAAATTGTATGCCACCTGATAGGGTTCAATGACAAGAACATATAATCACTTTTGTGATATTCCTGCCAAAGATGCATAACCTGAATATAAATATGACAAAGTAGCAGAAAGAAAAGATTTAATATTCTATGAAATAACTGGCCTGTGATCTTCAAGTGTCAAGGTCATGAAAGTAAGGTAAGTGTTCCAGTGACTAAGGAGACATGACATGACAATTAAATGCACTATGTGATTCTGAACTGGATCCTTTTTGTATAAAGAATATTATTGGAACAACTGGTAAAACATGAATGGGACCCACGGACTGGATGGTAGTAATGGATCACGGTCAATTTTCTGATTTTGATGTTTGTATTGTAGTTCTATAGGACGTTGCCCTTGTTTGTAGGAAATACAGACTAAAGTGTGATTATGGGACATCATGTCAGCCACTTTCTCTCAAATGTGACAGAATTAAAAAACAAAAAGGTTCTCTAGCAACTTTTCTGTAAGTGTGAGATAAAAAAAGGAAGAAAGAGAGAAAGAAAACTGTTGCATTAGATTGCAAGCTCTCTCTTCTATCCTTTTAGTCTTTTGTTCCACCAGGGCCCTGAATGTATTAGGTGTTCAATGAGTGCTTTTGATTTGTTGAATGACAAAAAGAAATCACTGTGGCTGCCACGAAAAAATGTCCTGAAAAGTAATAAAAGTAGAAGAAGGGGGACTTGTTAGAAAGCTCCTGAAACAGTCTAGGTAAAAAATGGACTGAAGTGGTAAGAATGGTGATGTCAGAGAAGTAAAGATTACATAAATATTTAAAATATGAATTCAAAAGATGTTGTGTTATGGAAAGGGAGGTAAGAGAAAGGATGGCCTAAAGAAGGACTCCCCGTTTTCTGGCAAAACCAACCTGATGATGATATTTACTGGTAATGGAAACACCAGTGGAAGAATAAATTCAGAAGAGGTGGAAAGTGGGACAGTAGTGAGTTATTTTAAATATGCTGAATTTGAGGCACTTATAATAAAACACTTCAACAGAGATGCTGTACAGATAGTATGAGTCTGAAACTTAGAAGAAAGGTAAAAGCACCTAGGCAGACAGTACAGGACTGAGAAGAAAAGATGGCCTGAAACAAAACTTTCAAGGCTCGTGAAAGGAGGAAGAGCCAGAAAAGGTACAGCCTAATAAGGTACAGCCAAAAGAGGTAAAAAGAAACCAGGAAAGTATAGTGTTAAGAAAAAAAAAAAAGAGAGAGATGAGAACATTTCAAGAAGGAAGCCGTAATTGGGGTTAAATGGTGCTATAAAGTAAAACAAGGACAGGAAATACCCATTAAATTTAATGATACTGACATCATTGCTACGTAAGTTGTAGAAGCCAGGTGGGTGAGTTGAGAAGTGAATAAAGGTAAGAAAACTGAGATAGTAACTGTAGACATCAATTCGAGAAGGTTCACTTTAAGGAAAGGAATAAACAAGATGGTAAAGGGAGTGGATGGGGTTGAGAGAGGTTTGATTGTTTTAAAATGGAGAAATCTGGACATTTAAATGCTGGTGGGACCCAAAAACCACTGAGATAAACTAAATGACACAGGAGAAAAGAGAGAATTGAGAATGTAGTTTTTCTTAATTCCACACTGGAGTTTGTTACACAGGGCCCAAACATTAAGTTCAAGTGATTTTGAAAGTAAAATTGTTATTCATTAGAATTCTAGAATGTTATTTAGTAAAAAAAAAAAGTTCTAAAGTCATCCAGCCCCATCTGCGGCCCAAAGAAGTTAGGTGACTGACTGACTTATCTACTCAAGGTCACAAGGTTACTATGTGATAGGGATATGACCCAAGGACTTCTGACTGCATACTCTTTCCATGATCCCAGGGTGACTTTATATATGATCTGGGTGTTCTGCAGAAGTACATCTGGGGTCATAAGGATGGTGAAGGTAGGCAAGTAAAGGAGATGTGTGTTGGAGAGAGTGTGGCTACATTCTAGGGCTCTGGAATCCCCATTCCTATTTCACAGAAGCTGCCCTCTGTCTATTTAATAAACTAGGGGCCTGAATGAGATTCTGCTTTAAAAAAAAAAAAAGCATACAATAATCAAACAAATGTAAAAATATACATAATTTAAAATATGCTTACCGGGTAATAGCACTGAACAACCCACGGATGCGTGCTTTATGTCTAGCTACAAAAGCTTCAGTAAATATTACTCCTCTGTTATCAAGATCAATGTGTCCGTTAATAATTCTACCTAGTCGCTGAGTTAGCGCCTGAGGGTAAAGATGGATGAAAATTCTTATTAATTTGAAAGAAAATTACACATTTACATTTGTACAGTCTTACTAGCGTCATGTTGCATGCTGATGCTGTATTAATCATATGACTGAATAATTTCAGCAAGCATGAATTAACAAGATATATAAGGTAAAATGAAGACTTAGGATCTAGGAAACTTCATAATCTTATGGCAGAGACAAGAATCGAATAAATCAAATAGTTGAATGTTAAAAGGCTCAGCTACATGCTAAAATAAGGCCTATTTCTATGGTAAAATAAAAGAGATTGATTAACCAATTTTCTAGATACAGGCAGTCTGACACATAGACAGCCAAGACATATACATGGGTCTTGGAGAGGATCCTACATGGAGCTTCTAACACTAACAGAGAGAAATAAATGTTATTCCAAGATTCTGCGACCTAGGGAAACATAAGACCTGAAAAGTTATCTTCTGTGATGCAAATATTAACAAACTGTGTCCAGAAATCTATACTGACAGACAACCTGATTTCTTGGTAATCTCAAGAGAGTATTTTTCCACAGCTACACTATGACTGGGATCAGGTACATATAAAATAAGCCTGGACATATTTGCCTTCCCAGGACAAGTTAAATCTACTCAAGTCAGCTGGCTGATACTTTTATGGTACAGAAAAATGCTTTCCAAACAACTTCTTAATGAGCTTTTAGAATACTGCCTGTGATTCTGAGAAAAATTAAAACTGGAAACTATTAAGAAACTATATATATTTCTAAAATGTATCAGTAGCACAATTTTATAAGAAATCATTTGAATCTGTTCTGATACTTTTATTTAAGTGTCTAAAATTTTTTTTTTTTACCTTCTGTGATTTACATATATTTGCCGATTTTATCTTCTGTGATTTACATACATTTGCTCAGGAGCTTAGGCTCCTGAAATGCTTTGTAAAACAGATCTATGCCCTAAATGGTATTTTAGATGCAATTAGAAGAAATCACTCAGCTAAAATGAGTGAGTAAATCTGTTGTATTATAAATTAATCTCATGCAATTATGGTTTGTTAAGTTAAAGTATACCTAAAAAGAGATTTGGCTTTTCCCTGATTTGTTGCAGTAAATACAAAACAAAACCATCATTTATTGAGTACTTCCACTGTGCCAGCCATTTCAGTAGATATATCATGAATATAGCCTCACTGAGATCTATGAAACAGACAATTATTCCCATTTTCAGATATGTAACTGGAAGCACAAAAGACATGAAATAATTTTCCTGACACTGAATAACTAAGCAGTGGCATAGCCAGAATTCAAATCAAGGTCTGTTTAACTCCAAAGCCCATGCACTTTCCACTGTACCAAATGGACTTCTATAATTCTAAAATGTCAAACCATTTTAAGAAAAAACAAACAGGGAACTAGCCTCTATTTTCAGGTAGCATTGTTATTACACTATAAATCAAGATATCTGATTTGAGTATTGACACAAGTACCAAAAATGAAGAGAATATAAGTGATTCCTTGGTTCTTCTTCCTGTCACACTGACAGTTTAGAGGAAAAAAGGTGACATCAAAAGATGTTGGTACTACTTACATTTTGGGCAAGAAAATTCTTTGTTGGGAAGGGATGTTCTGTGCACTGCAGGATGTTTAGCATCAGCCTTGACCTTTACCACACAAGATGCCAGTAGCACCCCTTCTAAATTATAGTCTTCATCAGTTATTTCTTAAAATATTTCTTAAAATATAACTAGGCAATCAGAACTGATGATACCCTGGTTAAAGTTTCTGTACAGTTGTTATCAGAACATTAAATAAACCTATATGCTTATGGTATACCTGCTACTGCATCAAAGCAGGCCTAGAACTTAAGTCTACTTAAGTTTAGGGTGTCTCTGGGTTCAGGAAGATTACAATCACATCTAAACAATCTCATCAGAGCCATCAATGTTTAAGTATTCCCCAAATATATTGTTAGAACATCAGTAGTCAAACACTTGCAAAAAACCAATTAATGGTAAGAAGGTATAGTTTCTTCCCTCCCATTAAAATTATTTTATTTATCTGAAAAGACATATTATAGTATTAAGAAAAAAATACCTGTGTCAGAAAGTTTCCGGGAAGATCATAGGTTTTACACAGTTCGGATATGGTTACCTGACCACTTTCCTGTAATTTATCATTTACCTCTTCTGCTAACCGATCCAAATAGTTCCTAATAGTTTAAAAAAAAAAAAGGAAAAACCCAATTAGGAATAATAATTTTCCTCTATCTATTATGTCTAATTCCTGTTGCAATAAGGTATGCCTCAAAAGTAATGAATATGTTTAGGTAAACACCATTCATTACTCATATTCTGAAAATTTTCTTATCAATTTAACTAAATGTAAGGTTAATCAAATAATAAATGCTGAAATTGTTTTCAACAATTAAAATTCTGCAATCATTTTCATTAATATTTTTGGAACAATTCTGCTTTCAGAGTTAAACTCATACAGGAAAGATGATAAAAATTATGTTTTGTGTCGCTTTAAAACAACAGAAAAAAATAAAAGTTATATTATTTCCAAGTACTCCACACAAGTAAACACTTACTTTTTAAGTACAATGATCCTTACAATGAAAATCAGCACTAAGTGTTCTAAACAAAATGCTGAAGTGGCCACAACTGTTCTAAATTTAAGTATAAATTTACTTACAAAAAAAGAAAACAAAAAAGTGTACTTAAATATCGTACATACTCATCTATCAGTTGTCCCAACACTAGCTGAACATGTCTTTCTGATTTAACAATGTCACCAATTCTATTTTCAATATGAGTCAGATCCACATTAATCGCCTGGAAAATAAGTACAAATTCTATTAGTGATAAGTTCATACTGTTTAAGTTTGAAATTACATATTTAGAACTTAAAAAAAAAACTTACTTATCCTTAGGTGAATTTCAAATTGATATGAAATATTATAACAAGTCTCAAATAAAAAATTAGAGGCTTGTTGCTTATTTACTTTGATTTCTGAACAAGTACATTTTCACTTGCTAAGAAAGTTCGTATTAAGAAGTTACACCATTTCAGGGGTCTTTTCTCCTCCAGAGTCCCCCTGGAGCCTGGGGAGTCTGGTGGGGTGCAACAGGCAAGTCCAAACCTGCCAGAGATCACACAGTGAGTTGGTGAGTCTGCGACCCAAACCACCCATTGCCTCGGAGCAGTCACCAGACTGCCGCCCCACAGGCAGCCACTTGGCCCAAGATCAACCCAGCCCTGGCTCTCTCGCTCAGGAGAGGCTCTGCAGGCCAGAATTCAGGGGATCAAGTTGGCCCTTGCATCTCAGCCCCTGCTGTGGTTCTCAGGCTTGCTAAGACGTCAGCCAAACCTGCTGTCGGCTTCGTGAACAAGGCTTCTCGGCAGATCCTGGCTGGTGGTTCTGAGCTGGGAGGTAGATGTAGATGGGCCCCTGGGCTGAACAGTTAAAGTTTGTCAGGCAGAGTAAATTGGAGCTTTGTGTTCCCTAGACACTTCAAGGACAAAGCTAATGGCAGGAGCTGAGCTCTGCCAGAATAGAGAGATAAGATGACCACATCTATCACTCCTGAGGTCAAGGAGACCTCCCTGACTGCACATGTGCAGAAAGACTCCTCGGGGGTCAAAAAAGGGAGGCGCGCTACCCCATAATAGGTGCTGTCAATGTCCCATAGGCTGCTGCGCTGGAATCCATCTTGGCAAAAAGATGCACCTGCATATGGAGAAGCACCCTGGGTCAGGTCGGAGGTCGGAAACGAAGCAAGATGACTGGCCAGAGAAAAACAAACACCTGGAAAAACTCCCTCCATATAAGTGATTTAAATCACCTCTCTGGTGTGCTCCTCATTAGGGAGGATGCCTGCACTCTTCTCTGGGTGCATATTTTTGCTTTGCTCTAAATAACCTGGTTCTTTGTTTTCTTTGCACATACTGTGCTTCCAATAGATCTTGTGCCTGCTTTACAATGTCTTTTTGTGAATTTTTTCTCTCAAGAAGACAAGGACCAAGGTCCTCTCACCTGCCGATGTCGTCTGGTGCCATGACTTGGATTGCTTCCAAGGTAACTTGCACGTCTTGCTCAACTATGGCTAGAGACCTCTGCTTGCACTACCTTCCTTAGCTTCTCCTTTGGCCTGCACCTTTCTTTCCTACTTTTCTTGCACATAAGGGTCTGTTTTTCACTACATATTTTCACACCCTCCTGGGAGAAGATCTTTTGCTTTTTATTTCTAAACTGCCAATGCTGTCTTTGTCAGGCTGAGTGCACAGGCTCCCTGAGGTCTTATCTTTGTTACAAAAAACACCAGGGCATATGACTTTGGAAATAATTATGTTTCCCAACTCCAATTCTTCCAAGAGTTCCTCCTTTTACCTCTCGGACCCCCCAACCCCTCAAGCTTTGGCAGCCCTTACACTGCTATGGACAGCCTATTGGGCTGGCCAATTCCCAGCAGATAATGTCATAAATTTTACAAATGCTCAACCCCGAGGAGTACATCCCAGTAGGAAATCTTGTTATAGGACATAGGGGAGATCTGATGTCTATAAAGCTTAAGGGAAAACCAGCAACCACTCTGCACTGGTTCAAATGTCCACCCCAGGTAAGAAGGGAGGGCACCCTGTGCAAGAAACCAAAGCTGACCAGAGATGTCTGGTTAGAAATCAGTGGGGGAGTACAGGATGCTCCAAAGCCCATCAGCATTAAGATTGAAGGACATTCAGAGGACACTCTGAATCTCCTCCAGGTGCCTCCTAGTAATGTTTCCAGGATGCTGGACTTCATTTCTAGAAGCACTGTTCTCAGTTGCAGGTTATTCAACATGGGAGGATCTCCTTCTAAACCAAAAAAAAAAACACCCCTCAGAAACGCTCCCAGGGCACTAAGTTCTTTTTGTTCTTTCTGTCCACTTTTAGTCATAAACACCATGGAAGGTATCCCTGGGACAACAATGTATCAGCCAGTCTGCCTCTGTCATTAGGGCCAATTTGAGCACTCTTTGGTCTAAATTCTAGCTATGAAACTATGAATACATAAAAAGATGATTTTTTTTTGACACTGTGTGGCCACAATACTCTTTAGACTCCAAAAAAAACTGGTTAAGATAAAACCCTTTTGAAATTGCAAAACTGGTTCTTTCTGCATATGCAATTAGAGAAAGCTAGCTTGTTAAAATACTTTTTTTCAGAATTCTGATCCTGAGAGAACAAAAATACGCCTAGGAGAAAGCCTGAAGTTAACTCTTATCATGTCCTTGAGAGACAAACAAAGCCCACTTTGCCTGAGACTTCAGCCTTGGGTTAATTAGTAGAACTTCAAGCCAAGGGAAAAAAAAAAGCAAAGAGGCATTTTAAACCTCAAGCAGAAACTGTAAGATCTCTGTCTGTCTGGATTTATGTATATCTCAGTATGTGTCTCTGTCTGTGGATAATATTGCTGAGGCTAATTCGTAAATGAACTCTATTTAATTGGCTGAAAGAAAAGGAAGTGCTTATAAATCAAACAATTCTATATATAAGAGAAACTAAGCTAAACAAATTTCAGGTTCACATGATCTGGGAAATATTCAGTATTGAATTGATATCTGATATTAAAGTTAGTTTAAGTTTATTAATACAGACATGTCTTTAGAGTCATCAATATTAAGTATAATACCTTTGTTTTACCTAGGTTTACTGAAAGTCATTAAGTTCACACTGTATCTGTTACATTTGTCAACAAGAGAATTAACTTGGTATGGGATAAAAGCTTTTGAGTAAACAGTGTGGGAATAATTATGTTTTAGTTTTTCCAGATTTTTGGTACCTTGAAACTTTAGTTTTGCTAAATCAAGTCAAATGATAAAAAGTCATTAAACGTCTAAATCATTTTTAAGATAAAATACTGAAATATTGATTGCTGAACAAATCTAAATTCACCTACCTTTGTCTTCTCGCAAGAGGGAAACTAAAGATGTTTGGGTTTATCAGACACATGCCTTGTACTACATTGAGAAAAGAAACTGGGCTTTGGGAAAATGCATGTTTTTAGAGGTTATGGAATATATTAAGTTTGCTAATCAGGAAATACCAATACGACAAACAGTTCACAATTGCTTTCTTCTTGGTTTTCACTAGAGGTTAAGGTTTTTAAGGGTTAACAAGTATAATACGTAATTAAAGCTACTAAAATGATAAGGGAAGCATTTCACTGTGTGAAGCAAGTAGAATATATGTTGTCGGTGATAGAAGATATGAAGACTGGAATTTTTTCTCTCTCTGTTAAGAGAACAAAGTTTTCTTGGAATGCTGCTTTTGATAAGAGACTGTGTGAATTTCTTTGTCTTTAGGTGATTTGTATTTGCTTTTGAAATCTTTTGTTACTTTGGTTGAGTAAATAAGTATTATTTCACAATGATCTATGATTCTATTTGACTGTTTTAAAACTTTTTGATATTTTTTTGATATTTTTTAACAAACTTCCCAAGTGTCAAATTCTAATTAAAGTTCTTCTGACCTCCAGCTAACTTCAAGGCACTTCACAGGGCCCCTGAGGCATCTCAGAAAAATATTACACTAACTGGGATTATTTGACAGATTAAATTACAGGAGGAACATTGTCAAATAAAAGGTAACAATGACAGAATCTGTAAAGATCATGACACATGTAGATAAAGTTCACTCTGCTTCTACAAAGATTAACCCCTGACTGTCAGACTCTGCCATCCTGATGTCCTTGTAACATGGCAATGGTCTACTCCTAAATCAGGGAATTTAAAATGGGTAAACAATAGCTGTAAATTAAACAGGGTTATGGGAAATCCAAGATGGCCACCTGGCTTTTCCCAGCTCCCTGGCAAACTCCATTTTTACTTGATGGGTTAAAGCCTTCCCTGGCTACAGGGCTGATGCCCTCACAATGAAAAGGAAATGGTTAAAAAATGTGTTTTCCACTTGGGGTATACTTTCTTCAACCTCCAGTGATCGAGACACCCACTTCACTAGACAAATCATATAAGCCTTAACACAAACTTCTTGAAATTATCACTGTAACTATCATCCTCAATCATCAGGCAAGGTCAACAAAACTAATGGAAAAAGTGGACTCAAACAGAACAAAAATTAATTACATGGGATTAAATGAACTGGTAAATATGATTAATTTTTATGACTTTGACATATTACCAACTTCTAATCTTTGTTTTTCAGATACAGAAAAGCCCTTCTCCTCAAGCTACTTATGGCTTACAACAATTTGGTAATTTACACCTGAGGATAAAATTAAAACATTTTTCTCTTTGCCTGGTCCCTCCAGAAATTGGAGATCCTTGGGTTATGAACAGCCTTATCAGGTAAATAAAAAAGACTGCCTCCTGACATGTAAAGGAATCTCAAAATACTTTAGGGACCTCTAGAAGACAGAAATCCACCTAAGCAAAATCTGATGGCAGGCCTTTGGCATGGCTTTCTTGGCCTTGAGAGGCCTTTTGGGAATTTAGTCTGAGACTCCTGAGGAGTTACACCAGAGTCAGTATGGAGGAGCTTATGCGGTCAATGGACCAAACTTATTTTGAAAACAAATTGATCTTGGCTGTGTTTGGTGGAAATGAGGGCAATTTTAGGAAAAGGATTATGTTTCACTAAATATTAAATTCTAGTTTTGTTAATTAAGGCCTGTGTCTACTAAGACTCACTTCCCAGATAGTTCCTTGCTGTTAACACATTGTTACAAAATTTAATTAAATTATTAAAGGGACATTCTAAGTTTCTTTCTGAAGCCTAACTTCATAATCAACCTTTGGATAAAGGTCACATACTCCATGATCTACAACCTGGAGAT